AAAAGTCTGCTCTTTCATTCGCTCGAGTTGAAATACTTTTCATTCCGACTTCGGGTAAGTTTTGGCGTCTTGAAGCTTCTCCAAATTCAATTTACAGTTTCGACAACTTCGGCTCATAAATTTTAAACCAGAAGTTTACAAAAAATTTCCAAGTCATTTTCTCAAACAATATAAAATTCTGATTCTCATCCAACCTTTTTAACTTTCTACAGACTTCTTTAAGAGACTGAAAATACTTCGTCATATCACTTTTACATAATTCGTTATTCAGATTAATTCTATTACTTTTGTTTCTTGTATCCGAACATTCAAAAATAGTTTAGAATATCTCGATAGATATGTACTACATTTGAATTGTTTAAGTATTAATTGAATCAAAGAGTTCATAAGAGATTGATCTTAAAAAGAAACTCTGCCTTTGATTAAATTGCGTTTGAGTCAGGACTATGTATATCATTCTAGATCTTAATGGCCTATGAATACTCTGAAAAAAGTTCGAGTCCTTAACTTATTATTGTAGAAGTATTGCATTTTTAAGGTATTATATAAGACAAATGATGCAGTTCACCTCAGCAAAACTCATTTTCGAATTTTAATTTAAAACTTTGCAAAGAGTGAAATATTTGTGAGAATAGTTTATTGTGAAAGTTTCAAGTTGTTTGATTTGTTTCTATCTTGAAATAAGAACATCGAGTCTGCCAATTCATATTCATTTGTCTATTCTTCTTTAAAAGTTAATTATCGATTTAATATCTATGATTTGTTTTGTTTTCTTTTTAGAAATATGCGATTAGATATAGAATCAAAACAAATAGTTGAACCATATTCTTCATCATCTAATATTCATTCATTAAAATCTCTTGCAAATATTATTGAAAATGAATTTGCTCATTTATCAATGAATATATTTACTTATGAATTAAAACCTTTCTCTGATAAAATTTCTACATCATTATCATCGATAAATGATATAAAAGATTTATCAATATGTGATTATGAATTAACATGTCGTTATATTGAAATAAATATGCCTGTTGTACCACCATTAAAAATGAAATTAACAATACAATATCCAAATGAACCACCTGAAGTACTTTCATTAACATCAACAACATTAAGTTTTACACCAGCTAAACTTGATAAATCAGGTAAATTAATAATAAGAATAATACTAATTAAAAAAAAA